CCGAATCAGTTTTTATATGGAAAACTATTATTTTATCATTTAACATTATTAGGATAATTGCATTCTTTAATAATAGAAATAGATTTAATTTTTAACCCAACTGTTTAAAAGTAAAGAACTTTAAAATTGAGTAAATTTGTATAGTGTCTGTGTGGTAATATGTACTAGAATTTGCAGATATTCTTAACTAGTAAGTTGAGATTCTTCGGTGCCAACGTGATGGCTTCTTATATCTTATATGACTTGACGTTTTTGTGATTCAAGAAAATTGGAAAAAAGAAACTAGTAAAAGACAATATTGCCATCTTTATGTCATTTCTTATAGAAAAATAATGTTTTAGAAAGGTCACAGGTGATCAGTATTTTAGTACAAAAGTAGAAATCCATAGAGAATTCCACTAATTCAGCAGTTTAATGTACAGGAGTTTTGTTTGTTTGCAAAATCTGAGTCACAGGTAGCTCAGCGTGAATTGAGAGAAAAAGGAAATCATTGAAGACACTCAACATGGGGCTCACAGATCTTTCCAAGGGTTGCAGTGTTTGAATGGAATCTGGGAGTGGGAGGGAGCCTTCGCCCATTGCAGTGTGTGTTTGAGAAGAGGTTCTTGTCAGCAGCTGACGCTATTGCATGAAATGGTAACAACAGTGTCCATGCATTTTACAAGTGTGAGGAATAAATCTGTGTAGGCCGAGAGTGCTTCTGCAGGGACTAGGAATGGGGGGTACAGTGGTCCTGTGAGCATTAGGTGTCTCACATGTGAGCTGCCAAGCCTTTGATTCTCTGTCCTGCAGCAGCTGGGCTGCTGCAGGAGCTCACATCTGCAGCAAAAACACTGAGTCTGTCAGGACAACTTGCAAGGACTTCAAAATTCAGAAACTCCTTGCTTGACTATCAGCTGAAAATTGGGAGCATGTGCCAATGAGAAGGTGCCAAAATTTGAAGAGACATGAAACATCAATAGTTATGAATTCAGATATAAAGTGTAAGCTTTATTGGTTTATTTTTGTCATACATGCATCACAGTATAGAAGTATGGAAAAATAAATATTTCTTATAATCTCATTTTCTGAAGGTAAAAAATTAATTGTATGTTTCCTTTCATACAGTTGAAGAAAAGCCATGTAGCAGTTTTGTTCACTAGAAACAATACAAAATAGAGTCGTTGATGTGGGATTTAGAGAAGATGCCTACCCATTAATTTTATAGCATGCTTATAATGAGTGCTCATACTTTAATGCAACTATGATGAGGAAATATGATCTTAATCTGTGGCTAGAAAGATGGCTCAGCAGATAAGAGTGAGAACTGTTCTTCCAGAGGACCCAAGTTTACTTCCCAGCATCACCTGTCGCTCACAACTTTCTGGAATTCCATCTCCAAGAGATCTGACATCCTCTTCTGGACTTTCAGGCACCTGTACTCACATCTGTACATATCTGCAGACATATAACACACACACATAATTACAAGTAAATCTTTTTAGAAAATATATTTGCCCAACAATAGAGAATATTAAACAATAAACTAAGTGGCAGTTGCAAAGGAAGAAATAAACATTGAAGGACCACAGCGCCATGTCACTTCAAGCTCTAAATAGAAGACTGTGCTTTAGAAAGTCACTTCTTAAAATGTAACACTTGGGCTAGGAATATAACTTAGTAATAGAGTTCTTGCCTAGCCATGTGTGAAGCCCTAAGTTCAATTCCCAGCCCCTCCAAAAAAAAGAGTGTGTGTGTATGTGTGTATGCATGTGTGTGCATGTGTATGCCTTGTGCCCTTGTGCCGTGCTAGGGATTTAACCCAGGCCTTGTAAATGCTAAACAAACACAGCCTCTAAATAAATAAAAGTTATGGTTGTATTTAAATTGAACCTGGCAATTAAAATTATCAGTTAGAGCAAGTGAGGTGTCTCAGTTGGGTAGAGGTGCTTGCATCCAGGCCAGTGACTCAAGTTCAAGTCCCAGATCCCACAAAATGGAAGGAGAGAACAAATCCCTGAGAGTAGTCCTCTGACCTCCAGAAGTACACTGCACCTGCACTCACATACACACACAGACTAACGCAAATTATTTTGAAGTAGCATAGAGTATTACTACTTAAGTTTTCTGTACTAGTTGTATCATTTTCTTGTCCTCCATAGAAAGCATTTGGTTGCCTTTGATCCTAGATGTAAGCAAAGTCTAAACAACTGATGTCAGTGCACTTTAGATGTTCCTGTCTGGCTCAGGAGATGGCTTAAGGGATAAAGTGCTTGTGGCACGACTGTGAGAACCGGACTTCAGATCCCACCACCCACATAAAAGCTCAGCAGAGTGCTCCCAGGCTGTGAGAGTGGGGGACACAAGACCCCAGAGCAAGTGAGCTAGCCTAAGTAGCCAAATCAGTGAGTTTCAGTTTTAGCGAAAGACCATCTCAGTAAATAGAGCGGAGAGCAGCTGAGAAAGCTACCCGGCATGCACACAGGCACTTCACACAGTACACACAAGGAAGCCTATTACCATGTCATTGTGTTTCTACATCATTGTGGTGGTTTCTCTGAATAGATAAGCTGCAACAGAATAGCCACACCTGTGGTACAGGTAGAACTTACTGTGCTAAGCAGTGCTTCTCAGGGTACTCACTGAATTAACAAAGAGTTGTTTTTTTAATCTTAACACAGAGGCGACTCAGTGTTCTAGAACCTGCTGTGGCCCAGTGGTTCATAGCATTGACAAACTATAAGAAAACAGCCTTCATTAGAGGATGTGTGGCCCTGAAAGAAAAACTAACAAGACAGTTGGACAAGTTTGATATCACCATGTCATTCTCCTTCTAAATTTTAAAGAGTTATTCAAAAGTCCCTCTGTGCACTTCCCCCCTCCTTTGACAGTGCTGGGAATGGAACTCAGGGCCTCACATATAGGAGGCACGGATTCCACCCCGTCCCTAGTGATTCTAAATGTTTCATTTACAAAAATGGTATAAATGATTGAGGGTTAGCATGCTAAGTGGGCAAAGTTTGTGGCATGCAAGCACGTGGACTTGAGTTCATATCCTTAGAAAGAAACCATAGAAAAGCCAGGCACATCAGCATACACCTGTAATCCCAGCTCTGGGAAGGTAGAAGAAGGAGGATCCTTGGGACTTGCTGGCCAGCCGGTTTAGCCAACAAGTGAGCTTCCAGTTCGGTGAGAGACCCTGTCTCAGAAATAAGATAAACACACAATTGAGAAAGACGTGAAATCAACCATGTCTTCCACATACCCTGCCCACACCAAATAGGAGTGATGTGGTTAACCCTGATGGGTTACTTTGATAGGGTAAACTATTACTAACTGTAGATTGAAACCCAAAATTACTTCATTATCTTGTACCCTGACTGCTGCTATGTTTGGTGAACATGTTTAATCCAGAACATCAAAATTCTGTGCATTCTCTCACTGAAGCATTTGTTACTAGATAAATGTATAAAAAGTGAGAGAGATTACAGATATTTACATTTCTATTTTCTCCAAAGTTGGGCATCTTATGGCATACCTTTACAGGTTAGATTTCTATGTTATTCTTTTAATCAACATCAAAGGGAGAGAAAACGGTAAAGTTTTTTTTGTTTTGTTTACAAAGTTTCAGACTTTGTGCAGTGTTGAGCAGTTTGACACAGAAACCACTGATAGGGGTTTTTCTGTTTAAAATTTAGTTATTGGTTGTGTCTCTTTATTAAAAATGCATTTATATTTTTATGTATTATGTGTATTTATATAAATGTCTTATGTGTATTTCTCTTGTCTGATTGTTATCAGATATTTGGGGAGTTCTGATGGAGTCACCAAATGTTATCAGACATGTCAGAATCCCCCTTAGGTTTATTAGTCTTATTAATGAAAAAATTTAAGAATCTCAGGGACAGTTTAAGTCAGATTTTCAAAGGGAAACCCCAGGGCAACAAGCTGTACACTTGCACAGCAGCCAGGAGGAGGGAAACAGAGAAGAGAAAAGGGCATGCCGTTTGAGTTAAGGCAGCATGGAGGTCAGCCACTTCACAGGACAGGCGCTTTAGAGAAAGACTTCAAAATCCTCAAGTACCGCTGGGCATGGCAGCACACACCTTTAATCACAGCACTCAGGGAGGCATTGGCCAGCCTGGGCTACAAACCAAGTTCCAGGACAGCCAGCTCCACAGAGAAACCCTGTCTGGCAAATCTTAAAGAAAGAAGCAGAGAATAAGGAAAAGTTAGACCATCCTGAGTTCTCACTCGGAACCTCTTGGTGGCTCCTCACAGGACTACACTAGAGGTAGGAATTCTGAGAAGGAAAAGTTATTTCTCATAAGCACTCATTATTCCTCCTGTCTCTTTTGCATGACTTAAGGTGAACCCACACCTGAGGGATGGTCCCTTGGCCAGGTGATTGGCTAGTACCATGAAATTAACTGTTAGGGGAAGAGACAATGCCACCTCTCCACCTAGAGGCAGATTCCATTCTTTTGGCAGCAGGTAGCTTTCCCTTAATGGACCTCTTTTGCTTCTGTAACATCAGTTGTCCCCTCTCACAAAGTAAGAACGTATTGACTACAAACTCCTCAGAAATTACCATGCTGGCTCTAGAGGTGGCAGCAGGAGCATTAGAAGTAGAAGTTCAAGGTTGTTCTTAGCTAGTGGACACAAGAGAGTCTGTCCAGAAAAGAAAGACAGGAAAGGAATAGCCTGATGGAGTGTCATAGTTCAGTGGTTGGGCACTTGCTTGGCCTGTACAAGACCTTGGGATCAATGTGTACAAAAGAGAGAAAATATTCTGATAGCTCCTCTTTCACTGTACCCCAACACCAGTTCTCAGCTTTAGCACAAGTTGAGCACAATGGAGATTTATAAAATAAAACAATCAGGGTAGTAGTGAAGTAAGCCAGAAAGATTCTCCCAATTTATAAACAAATAAAAACCAAGCACATGGAGGTAGGAAATGGGAAAGGCACATCAGTTGGTATGCAGACACTCAAAGATGTTTGTTTCTTGTTCTTCCTTAGGATATCACTACTTTAACTGGTGTTCCAGAAGAGCACATCAAAACCAGAAAGGTCAGGATCTTTGTTCCTGCTCGCAACAACATGCAATCTGGAGTAAACAACACAAAGAAATGGAAGATGGAGTTTGATACCAGAGAGAGATGGGAAAATCCTTTGATGGGTTGGGCATCAACGTGAGTACTTTGAATATTGTGTTCAGATTTTCTGTTGAAAATACTGATTTTTTTTTTCCTGTGAAGAAAACACTGACTTTTCTTAGAGCTAATATGCTTGCAAAAATCTCTTTTAGTACGGTTAGGTTCACTACAACTGAGAACATGGAATTAAATATATTCCTTTATATATTTATAGACATGTCCATGTGTGTTTGGCTCCTAATAGTAAACTGCAGAAGTACTATTTCTGGATACTGTTGATGAGGTAACATGGATAAATGGCATGAACGTTAGTTGCAAATGCTCTGGGAGTGATATCACTAATTTAGTGGCACTAGTTGTTTTGTCTCAGTTGGGTGTTTAGTTTGTGGAAACGCGCTCTCGCTGTGTAGCTCTGGCTTTCCCAGAACTTGCTGTGTGGACCACAGGGGCCTCAGTGGTGCGGCCATCCTACTGTCTGTTTCTTAGTGCTCTGTGCCCAGCTTCAACTTAGTTTTAAATTCAAATAATACTCCTGTATGACATTTGTTTTGTTTGTTAGAGGTGTGAGAACAGAAATTTGCTAATTTGAGGGACACTTGTAATTTTCTGAGATCTTACAATTCAGATTATAAATTATAAATTAATTTTTAGCACATACTAGAATAAATTTTAGAAGACATCTGTTTTTGTTGATGTATTCAAGAGTCTTTTTGTTAGATATTCTTCCATGTTGAAATTTCAATAGAATTATATTGGGCAAATTATATAAAACATAGTTTCTAGAAGTTTTGGTATCTTAAATTTTGTTTCATGTAATATATAGAGTCTTTTGTAAATCATGTGTTTCCAGAGACCTAAGAAATTTAGAAGAAAAATCTTTGTCCATACCTAGTGGTTAGAATGTTATGACCATACTTTTGAGTTATATGAGATTTTAGTATGCTCATCTATTCCTGGGATTCACATACTAGTGCATCTCCAGCAATTACAGATCCTTGTTTCAGTATTGGTACCTTTTATATTCCAGCTTGTTTCTGGAGAATACACTTTAGATAAGAATGTAAAGTTAGTCAGCATGGTGGCCAATACATATAATCCTTGCATTTTGAAGGCTGGGTAAGAAGATGAGTTTGAGGCCAGCCCGGGTTAAAACAATGAGACACCATGAGAAAGGAAAAAAAGGAGTTGGGGTGAGGGAGGCAAAGAGAGAAGAAAGGGTTAAATTTTGTGAACTTTACACACAGTCACATACACACTTACTTATACAATCACAACACTAATGGCTGAGGCATCAATAACAAGATTAATAATAGAACAAACATACAAATATACTATATATGAAACAGCCTTCAAATAAAGACCCAAAGAAAGAGAGATTCTGGTGCATTCTTATGCACAAGAATTTGAGGATGTGTAGACAGTTATGTAAGATATGCCTAGAAGGAGCTTTGATCTAATGGTAATAAGCTGGGGTGTGTTAGCCAGCTTCTTTGTTGAAATTCTCACCTATAGCCTGTGTTTTCAGGGATATATTCCTTTTCTCTAGGTATGATGGTCACCTCTAGAATGAATATTTTGTAATGACGTCAGAGGAAGGTCAGAGACTTCTAATATAGCCGGCAGAAGGGCAGAAGGGCAGAAGGGCAAGAAAGGGCCAGAGAGACCTGACTACTACTATTGTTTTTTCTCAAATGCTAGATACCAAGCTTTGTGTAGTGTGTCTTAAACCTTATCAGTTGGTCTTGAGGGTAAATTTCACTTTGCTATGCTTGTACAAATATTCACCCAGTCATCGTCATAGCATTGCTTTTAGAAATATCACACTTACGTTCTGAAATACTGATCACTTAATTAATAATATGGGTTGAAAATTACATACTCTCCATGTATGGGAGGTAAAACTCTTTTCAGAATACAATTTCTCCAAAGTAAAACGTATTTTTAAAACAAGAAAATTTTTCTACAGTTGGTTTATCTAAAGTGTTGTTTTGTATGTTAAATATTTTTTTAAAAACATCAGTTCTCTTTGTTGTCATATTAAGAAACAACCAGTAATTAGCTTGAAAAATATAGTCTGAAAAAACCATGACTAATTTTGTTTTACAAAAGCAGGAATTGTCACATTTGCTAATATCAGAATTTTTTTTTTTCAATATTTAGCTTCTTTCCGGGGTGGGGGTGGGGGATTCGAAACAGAATTTCTCTGTGTAACGGGCCCTGGCAGTCCTGGAACGTGCTCTGTAGACCAGGCTGGCCTCGAACTCACAGAGATCTGCTTGCCTCTGCCTCCCAAGTGCTGGGATTAAGGGCGTGTGCCATCACTGCTGGGCAAATGTTTATCTTCTTAATAACAGAAAGAATGGTACATAAAATTATTGCTTAAACATACTGAATTTTGGCTTCTTTTGTGACATATTTTAAACCTTTTTATAAAATTGTTAATGTTGGAAGGTGAACTTTTTATATTTACTTAAAAGTTTTATCATTTACAAAACTTATATCTTGGGCTAGAGAGATGGCTCGGCGATGAAGAAGACCTCTTCAAGAAGACCCAGGGTTGGTTTGCAGCAGCACCCACCCTGGGTGGCTCACACTCTGTAACTCCAGCTCCAGGGCAGCCTGACACCTCTGGCTTTTGCAGACACCTGCATTCATGCGCACACACCTCCACAGGGACACACATGCATACACATTTACAATGATAAAACTAGATCTTAAACATTTATATCTCAAAAAATTTTATATCTCAAATAAATGAATGGCTTCACCATAACTTGAGTTTTCAGTCTGCCTATATTTTACCACTATATATCTAATATTAGTATGTGGAGTGAAAGAAAAATATTTAAAACCTAGTTATATATGTTGTAGGTTTATAGTTGTGTGCGGATGTGGTACTGGGGTCAACTCTAGAGCTTTATGAATGGTAGGCAAATAGTCTACGTCTGATCCATGTCTTTATCATTTTCTTTGTAATGAGAGAACTACTTTAACAGGAAGAAGAATGTATCTATCCAATTAGCTTTTAGTACTGACAAACAATTCTTGAATATGTTGAAAGAGAAATGACTATAGAACTTATATCTAAAACATCTTTTTCTAAAGACCCAAAATTTCCTCCTGTAGGTGATCTAGACTTGATGAGTTTTCCCTAGTAGAGTACCTCTGGTTTGAGTCTGCCAGATGGATGAAGTAACGTGGAAGATTTAACAGACCTAATCCCGATGATGAAAAAGTTTTACAGTTAAAAGCACAAGAAACATGACATAGAGCGCCTGGAAAAAGAACGGTTGTGTATGTTTGGAGGTTCTTTCCCTGACTTGTAGTTGATGTAGAGGGAGAAGAGCCACTGGTTCCTAGAGTAGAGCAGTGCCAGCAGAGAAGGCAGTTCTGCAGTTAGCTAGTGTTGTGACAAAAGCTTGAGCCCAGAGAGGTTTTGGGGGGTTTTTGCATGTTTCAGTGGCAGCAGATAAGGAGGTTGCTGTGGAAGTACACTTCATTACTAAGGAACATAGTTTTGGTTTTAAATGTAGTGAATAAGTTTCATTGTTACCTATTCAGTCTATTTTAAAAATTTTTCTAAAAGGCCACTTTCTAAGATAAGTATGCCCTAATCTTTGTTTTTAAGATTTTAAAATTCACATTTTTAAATACTGTATTGACATTTTGTATCTGAAGTGCAAGCTTCTTATGCTCTTTTAATTACCTGGGTCTTTTAAATGTTAGAACTCAAAGGTAAAAGGTTTATCTTTATGTAAACCTGAAAAGTATTATAAGATGCAAAAATCATCACAAGTTTGGCCCAAAGTCTTTTTTATGATATAAATCTCCTTAATCTAATAGGGTAAGCACACTGGGGCCAGAATAAACCATTCCTTGTCGTTTAATAGTCCAGCTAGTTGGTTATTAAACTCATAGATTTCTTCTTTCTTTTTGATATTTATTATTATACATGTGCATGCATGTATATGCATGTGAGCTCAAGTTTGACAGCAAGCACCCTCAGCCTACTGAGCCATCTTATTAGAGAAGTATCATTTAGTTTCTAGAAACAAGTATTTTGTTTCTTGTCACAGGGACTTGGAAGGCCATTTAATTTAAGCAAAGGAATTCATGAATTTTGATGTTGCTAATTCTCTCATTGCCTAATTATCCACATAGTATGCTTGACCCTTACCCATGATAACACTTTAACGTGGACATGGTTCTTAAGCTTGTAGTTAGTCTTTTGGCTTATCAGGTAGGAATAGTATTGTCTGTGCCATCCTTCCCTCCTAGCTCTTCGACTTCATTACAAAGTCACTTTTAAAATCTGTTTGATCACTTGACTCAGTATTGTGAGTCCTTCGGGAAGTACTGCCTACTTCTCTTTATTGATTTGATGAACAAGTAAATGAGTGTTTGTATATGTAGACAGGAATAATCTGGATACAGGAAATTATCAGCCATTCCCTCCTGCCTTCTATCCACTATTGTGCACATACTCTCTATCTCACAGAAGAGAACTCAGTTGATGTAGAATATATCTTTGTGGGTTTTTTCAGTGTGTGTGTGTGTGTGTGTGTGTGTGTGTGTGTGTGTGTGTGTGTGTGTGTGTGTGTGTGTGTGTGTGTGTGTGTATGGCTTCATTTATCTTTTGGTCAAATTTGATGGCACAAGTTGCAAGATCAGTAAGCTGGCTGATCCTATGTTCATCCAAACAGAGAAAGCTGATAGGGATAATATGAGGTAGAGTGAGGTCATAAACCCCCAAAGCCTGCCCCCAGTGTCCCACTTCCTCCAGCAAGGCTCTACCTCCTAAAGGTTCCCTAATCTCTGCACACAAGCCCCCAGCTGGTGACCACAGATGCAAATACATGAGTCTGTGGGGGATAGCTCTCATTCAGACCATGACTCTTGGTGTTCTTTGCTTGTCAGAGGTCATTTTAACAAAACTCCATTAAGTCAAGGCTTGTTAGATATTTATGATAATTTTTATACATTTATGTTAAAATTCTAAATGTGAACAAAAATGGTTCTTTAAAATAAAAAAAAACCATAGATAAAGAACAGTGAAATGTATTATATACCCACATTGAGAAACAGCATGTCCAATATTCCTGAAGTGTTTTGCCTATTTTTGTATTTTATTAAAGAGAATCCATTATGTGTTCTGTGACTGGTGTTTTTGTGCAACATTGTATCTACAAGATTCATCCATGTTACTGCCAAAGCAGCACTTTGGTTTTCAGTTGTTTTTACATGTAATTCTGAAATGAAGAATCCCATGTAGATCTTTGAATGAATGTATGACTTCCTGATATTCTACTTAACCCTTAAGACATTAGTCATTGATTTATCATGGAATCAGTTTCTGTTGTGAAGTATCGGTAATATATTAATTCTGATCCTTACTCATCTTGAGCTAATGACAGCAGCTGTGTAGAGTTTTGTTCTGTAGATAGTCATATTACTGGTAGGTCACCTGGAGCAAGTGAAGGATTAATTTTGTTTTGTTTTGTTTTCCTTGCCTTGTTGGAGTATGAGGAATACTGAAATTCAGTGTTTCGGGTTTAAAGGCATAGTCTTTCTGACATTCCAGTGGAGAGCACAAGGTGCTTAGCAAGTCGTGACTTCTTTTCACCTCAAGTGGACAGCTACTGGAATCTCCTTTCACTTGTGTTCAGCTTGCCAGCCCTGCCCATTCATATACACTGCAAAAGTTCACGGCTCTATGGACTGCACACTTCACAGAATTCACCCCTGCATGTCCAGATGCTCTGAGAGCAGCCCTACACATTATCTTCTGATTTCTTGTGTTGACAAGCTATGCCTTTTTGCTTGACTTCTCCATGTTCCTATCTGTCTGAACTAGAGAATTCTTAGGGAGAAAATTGAGAACTGTATTCCAATAAAGTTTGTTTTGAGAGGGGGAAAGAATTCTCTCCAGTTTTTTCTGCTTTTAGTCTCTCTCATCCATTTTCCCCTGTTTTGTTAAGAGTTTATAGTTGCTATAAATGCATTTGTTAGTCAGGTACACTTCTAAGATACAAGTTTCTTTATCGTTACTTATTTGGAACCTCACTAGTTGAGAATTGAGCAATGGAGTATAAACGTCAAAGTAGAAATTTACTCATAAAGATTGACAGACGTACAGCTGGAGAGGATAGGATATGAGAGATTTCATGGACAAGATTGGTACTCAGAGTGAGCCATGAGAGATGATTGGGGTGGATCTCCATATGTAAAGATGCTGGGCGAGCATTCTCAATGGAAGGAGCAACTGAACTGATAGGAAAGTCCAGGCTGTGTAGTCATAGAAACGAGTGCGCTTTGACTAGTTGGTGACTTCTCAAGGGGTAACTAGAAATGTCCAGAAAAGCATTCTGACCATCCTGGACAAGTGCAGAAACTCCCACAGTGGACAGCAGGAACTGTTTGAAGTTTTGACTTGGCATGCACTAGGTTTGGGAAATAAATAATAGGAAGATAAATGTGGTAACCTTAAATGGTGGGGTGGAATCAAAAAAAGGAGACAGAAAGAGTAAGATCTTGGTACCAACATAACCTAGAAAGAATTCTAAACTGTGAGAGATGAGGGAGAAGGACAAACCAACTGGAAGATGATTGCTTATTGATGGTTTATACCATTGAACGTACATGTTCATAAAGCAGACCCTTCAAAAGGTCTATCACCTTTGCAGGAAATGGATCTAGTCTCTCTCTTGACTTCCAAGGACTGACTGACTGACTGACTGTCTCTTTCTCTCTGTCTCTCTGTCTCTCTGTCTCTCTTGAGCTAAGCCAGTGTGCCTGTCAAAACTATTCAAATCACTGAATCATATTTATATTGGCACTTCTGAGTATAACTAGTTTAACTATCAACTGAGAAACTATATGTGCCTTGAAAAGAAGCATTAATACAAAATTATCATTAAATTTTGGTACTAATATAGACGGTCAGTAGAAGGGTTTTTTTTTTTTTTTTTTCTTACAAGGGGAATTTATTATAGGAGTCCATGATTATAGGGATCCTAAGGAATCCCAGCAAAGCCAGGATTGGTGTGCCCAGACCTTCATCAGCAGTCTGTGGAACTGAAGAGCAGGAGAGCTACTTTAGGGCTCTGCTTAGCTCCTAGCTTTCCCATGGCCAAGTCCCCCAGAGGATTTCTTCTTCTTTTTCTTCTCCAGATTGAGTGGCATGTAGTGCAGGGTAGTCTTGAATTCTCTGTGTAGTGAGGCATGACCTTCCATTTCTGATTCTCCATCCCAGAGTGTTGAAATTCCAGGTGTATGCCTCCACATCTAGTGTTATGCAGTTCTGGGCACTAACCCAGGGCTTCTTGCATCTAGGCACGGACTTTACCAGCTAAGCTATGTCCCTAGCCCCTACCTACTTCCATAGTTCTGAACAGGTTTCCACAGAATGTTGTATTCATCGCTAAGAGATTTGCTTTAACCATTTGTAGCAAACATGGTTATGCTTTTATAAACATAAAAATGAGGGCTGTCAGGTCTTAGAATGTTTCTTTTTGTTTTACGTAGACATTTCCCTTAAAAGAACATTATTGGTGATGAAAAGTTTGTTGAGAGTAGGTTCGGTTTGGTTTTTTTTTTTATTTTAAAGAATTCATAGTATATGGATGCTTCTAACTACAGTGGGGTTAATGTCCCAGCAAACTCATTATAGAGAACGTCATAAGTTGAAGATGTTTCCTACTAACCTACTGAATATGGTAGTTTGGTGATGCAGTTGTTTACCACTGTGCTCCAGCATGGCTAATGTTTCATTCATTCAGGGGAACATTTAAAATTTGAAAAATATTTTCTTAGACCAATGGGCTGGCTCAGTGGGTAAAATCAACTCCTGCAAGTTGTCCTGTGACCTCTACATATGTACTATGGCATTGGTATATATACATATACACACACATACACACGAAAATATTTTTAAAAGAAAAACATTTTCTGTTACTGCACATCGCTGTCCTCGTCATAATGTCGAAATCTTAAGTGAAACGATCATACACTGGTAGCTGTCTGCACCGGCAGTTCTACTCGGCACTAACTGCTTGATACTGCAGTTTCTCGGGTCAGTTTGGGAATCTTCCGGGGTTTTTAATCTAAAATTTGACTTTGCCCTTTTAAATAGAGCTTAATAAACCTCAGTAAAGAGAACTGGAATGTTACTGCAATTATGATTTTTATTATTACATAATGCATACTAGAAAAGTCAGATTTAACACAGAAATAAAGTATTGTTTTTCAGAGATTACTACAAATAAAATATTGTCATAATTTTTTGATATTATACCAACTGTCTATTTTCTAAACATGGTATTTCTAATCATTGTATTTAAAAATTGTATTTAAAATGAATGTATTTAAAATCAGCATTGTATGTTCATTGTCTTACAGCTAAAGCTTAATATTAAATCATGGGCATTCTTTCTTCTAGGGCTGATCCCCTCTCCAACATGGTTCTAACCTTTAGTACCAAAGAAGATGCAATTGCCTTTGCAGAAAAAAATGGTATGAGTGAGCTAACTTCCTTTCTTTCTAAATTAAGATAAGATTTTGTGTTCTTAACCTTGAAACCCATCTAAGAATTTAAAATTTGGACAGATACTTAGCTGGTCAGTCACTCAACACCAAGCCAGAGTTTGATCCTTGACACTTGCACACACACAATAACTAATGTGAAGAAAACATTTTTTAAAAGGATATGAAAAGACCAAACTTAAAATAGAGACAGAGAATAAGATCACTTGCTAACACTTTACTTGCTTCTGAATCTTCCTGCAAAAATCCCTAACATATAGTTACTTAAACTCTAACTGTATCATACATCATGAGGTGGTCTACTCCAGTTTTGACATTTCACACTAAAGTTCTTTCTTCTTTTGACCCAAAATCTAATGCCTATTGTTCTACCTGATAGCCTTTTAATTACCTGAAGGGAGTTGTTATCATCCTTACTCTAAACTTTCCTCTAAGCTTAAATGTCTACATTTGCTGTGTTAGTAGATGTGACAAGTCTAATACTGAATATAATTTCCACAGTACATTACATTTATACAGCATAATAATATGTAGAAGCTTTGGGAAAAGCAATAATACATATCAGTTTATGATGATTTTTCTATAAATAAAATTTTAGAATTCTTTTTAAAAATAATTTTCTGCTCTTAAGCCAATATATTGTATTGAAAAGGAGGCATTAGGACCAGAGCAATCTATATACTTTTTGAAATTATTTGTTTAATTTCATAGTGACTTTAATGTTTTTTCACAGTTAAGAGTACTTATAATGGGCTGAAGAAGTGGCTTAGTGGTTAGGAATACTGACTGCTCTTCCAGAGAACCCAGCTTCAATTCCCAACACCCACATGGTAGCTTACAGCTGTCAGTAACTCATGCATGTAGTGTTCAGACACACGCACATGCACACGCACCACACACACACACACACGTGTGTGCACACACACACACACAGAGGCAATTCACATAAAATAAAATTAAAAATAGTACGTGTGAAATGAGAATGTCAGGTGTTTACCTGAAGTGTTGTAGGTAATTGGTAATGTTTGTCTCTGACCCACACCTCCCTCCCTGCATCTGGCATCCTTGCAGTCTGTGTCTCTTATACTTAAATGCATTATTATGTATTTGTACCCAATGCAGTGTGACAATGCATGTGTCATGTGACTTTTCCTGGGTAAAATGTCAGCCAATGACTATTCCCCCAGATAAGGCACCAACAGCAGACCAAAGAAGCTATTCTCCAAAAGCCATGTCCCTGGTGCTTCCTGCCTGGTTTGTAGGCAGCTCCACTGAAGAGTCTCCTCTCCCCAGTAACTGTTTACTGCTTCCGTAACCCCATGAGAGGCCATGAGTCTTACAACTTTCTGAACTTACCAAGTTTCCTTAGTTTCCTGAGCCTCTTTTCCCCTGCAGGCTAGAGCAGTTGAATTTAAAGGAAATAGCTAGACACCATGTTAGGAAATCCCGTAAGTTTAATACAGAAGGAGATATTTAAGTTCTATCTGGGCCATTTGGATTTCCATCTATATTTGCTATCTATTGGAAGACAGATAATAGATACAGCTTAAGTACATTATTAGTATACGGTATTATATGTGAAAAATTTGTGTTATCTAATACGTTTGATGTAGAAATCTGAAAGCACTGTAAATGTTTTCTAGAATAGTTGTTTTGCTTCCTCATTTAGTATTACATAGCCTATGATTAAAAGTCTAAAGTCAGGATCTGGGGGTATATAGGACAATGGCAGAGCATATACTGGGCATACCCTGGGTTTAGAGCCAAACTAACTTATTTGAAACCATGGCTGGTCGTTGTGACTTTGTACTTCAGTTTCCACATATATAATGAGGATTGCTGTGAGGAGTAAATGAATTAATAAATAGCAAGTGATTAAAGAGGATCTGACACATTACTCATACAAGTACATAAATATATCTTATGTTGTTAGTAATAGACCATAAACTTTTGTTCTTAAGTGCACGCTCCTTGGATACTTTTTGGCCAAGTTCTAAATTTCTTATATCTGAAATTGTTGTCAGCATAACCATATTACTACTTTGATTCAAGGTAGCATTTCTGTATTTTAATTAAACAGTTCTATTAATGTTTCCCCTCCTTTCAGCCTTCCATACTTCATGTCTCACACCTTGCAAATTACTCTTCTGGGGTTTGTATCATGAGTTTAATAACAGGAAATCTAATTAAACTGTTAAATCCCTCTCTAGTCTTTCTCTAAGTGGTCACAAGGCATATGTGAGTACGGTTGCTATGTGAATTGCAGGTGTGAAGCAGACACTGCTGCTATTGAAATCAGGTGGTTCTCTGATTTGATTTCCCTCCCGGAAAGAAAGTCAGGCAGTCACAGTCAGTAGGAGATGTCACTTGAGACAGCCCGGCAGACAGTGACTTAGAAAACCGCACTCAGTCCCGGGCTGCAGCACCGCAGAGCTGTCTGAGCAGCTGCTTTGTCTTCAGCACTTTCCACCCAGCCTGCTGCACGCTCACACCCTGTGCCCGGGGAAATCAGGGCTCTGGTGGCTCGGGGATTTAGAGCTACACTGATTTTCAGGATAAGGCTATGCTTTGTATTCACTGTGGTACTTGTGATCTGATATATGTCTTTAACATTTAGCATTATGCATCTTTAAGTAGGTAAGTCCTACTTTTTTCAGGTATAATGAAAGCAAGGTGTCTTAGTCACTGTTCCGTTGCTGTGAAGAGACACCATGAACAAGGCAAATGCTTACAAAAGAAAGCATTTAATTGAAGAATTACTTACCGTTTCAGAGGCTTAGGCCATTATCATCATGGCAGGACATGGCAGCAGGCAGGCGTGGCGCTGGAGAAATAGCTGATCTGCAGGCAGAGAAAGAGAACCTGGGCCTGGCATGGGCTTTTGAAACCTCAAAGCATACCCCTAGTGACACACTTCCTCCAACAAGGCCACACTTCCTAATCCTTCTAGTCCTATCGAAGTTCCACTCCTTGATGACTAAGCATTTCAACTATATGAGCCTGTGCCTGTCATTCTTATTCAGATCACCACACAGGGTCTAAGTAAGGAGCTTGGAGTATTACAGAATCCTCCTAGCATGAAGGATCTCTCCTGAATTCCCCAGCAACCCTCTTCATTATAATTTACTTCTCTTGGACCATTGTATGGGACATATAAATGAAATTTCCTTTCTCCTATACCTAACATCATTTTATTGGGAGCTAATGCTATTGAAAGTGAACCATATGTCTAAATTACCAAATGTAGGACATTGAAATGCTTCAAGCAGGTGTGGTGTCACACACTTGTAATTCTTGCACATGTGGCGGGAAGATTGAGAGTTCAAGGTCATCTATCTCAGGGGTGGCAGGGGTGCTCAGAAGTACTAGTATGTTAAAGACTGCAGGATTACGAGGCTAGCAACTAGGATTCTAATTCCATATTGTCTTTACATACAGGGTAGCTTTACCACCAAGACTTGGTCTTTAATACACATTTGTTTTTCATCTTTGAAATGAGAAGATGGGTTGAATAATTCTCAGAACTTTATATCTTAAGGATGTTAGCTCATGGACCAGCCCTGACCTCATTATTTTCTCTATAGAGGAAAATGTATTTGTGATGGTAAAGGTGGCTCTGTTGAAAGCAAAATCTTCAAAGGTTCTGCATTTATGAGTAGTAGATGCTTACTTTTCAGTAGTATCCAGAAGTCAGAGGCCAAGGTAAAACTGTCACAAAAGAAAAAGAAAATTTATATATTCAGAATGTTCTGAAAACAGTATATTTTCTTAGTTTTTCCTTTCTGTAACATCTAAATGTTAAATTTTAAAAAAGGAAAGTCATGATTATCATTTCCTTGCATAAAGTTATTTGTAGAGAAGGGGGACAATGAGAAGTAAGATTTACAGATCTGCTTTCTTTCCAGACATGTTTATTGACCTCTATTATATTTTGAGAACTCAGGCAACAAAAGTCCTCATGACAAAAGTTAATATTTAGAAATAGTCATAATCCTCATTAAAACCCCAGAAAGCATGAACAGTCAATATCCCACCAAAGTAACATTAAGTAGCAAGTCACATATTTACAATTTGAACACGTTTTTATTTAAAAAGTCATGGGCCAGTGGGGGTGGCTCAGCCAGTTAAAGCACTGATGACCTAAATTTAATCCCTCAGACCACCTGGGGGGGAGAGAGACCTGACTCCCCAAGTTATCTTCTGACACATACAGATGTGGCACATGCACACACACACAGAGAATAAATAGGTACAAGTGTAGTTAAAAAGTCATATTCATTAGTTTATATAGAGTGTATATATGTGGCTTCTCTACGACAGTGGTAGAACTCAGTTGTTGTCATTGTGACCATTTGGGCGTGAAGGCCTGAAAATAATCACTACTTGTCCCATGATGGAAAATATTAGTTGTCTTCTGCTTTGTTACTTATTTTTGTGGTGCAGGGGATCACACCTCGGGTCTTGCACATACTAGGCAAGTAGCCTATCCACTAAGCTCTGTTCTCAGACCCTACTCTTTTCCCTATTCTTCCCCAATTCTGTTTCCCATTCCCACTGGGTAAGCTCTTTTCCATCTAACTTAAACAAAACAAAAACTTTGGGTGTTTTTTGGAAATTAAAGTATAATTACATCGTTTTCCTTTTTCTTTCCTCTAACCCTCCTATGTATACCTTCTTCCCCCTCTGTCAAATTCGTGGCTTCTGCCTCTTTTTCTCTAATTGTATTTAGATATGTCAAAATACACATATGCGCACAGTCCATATGATGTTACTTGTATAGACATGCTTTCAGGGCTGACCACTTGGTACTGGATAACTAATTAGGGAGCTCTTCCCTGGGGAGGACTGTTTCTCCTGCTCTCAGCAATCCTAAGTTTCCTATAGTTCTTTATGTAAGGTTGGGGCCTAGTAAGATTTCTTCCTTTCATATCAGTGTGTCTGTTGATGATGTTGTTCTTCAGGTCTTGTTT